CTGGCACTGCTTTGAATCCACTCAACGGTGCTTTGTAGCATGTTTAAACATTATCCGAAGTAATCAGGGGAGTGTTCATGAGGTTTAACTTAATGTTTAATTAATGAAAAGCTCAATTCTGATGAGCTTCATTAAACATATATGCATTGGGACAGCTGCCCCAGAGCCACTTTGATGCTTTTTGCTTCTTGAATCTGATCATAAATAATCAAAAAAACTAATCGGGACAAACAGAATAAGCTTTTTTTTCATTTTGGAGTTATCTAACAACTTTTGAATCCGATACATTTCATTATATTTAAAACTGTGTTTACAAAAAAGGGTCATTTTCAATAACGCAGCATTTCAAACAGAGAAAAGTTGATAAAATATTCAATTCAACAAACAATCTGCTGCTTAATGAAACTGGAACAGGGGATTGAATTGAGTTTTCTGGCGCACAGCACAAAGTCACTTTGTTCACTTATAAAACGGCGTTTGGCAGCTGCGAGAGTCTCAATTTGTCTTTCAGATGTGCATCATTTTCAGCGATGATTTGAAATGAGGAACTGTCGAATTTACATTTCTCAGCTCAACACATGTCTGCATTTATTTACTGACAATGGAGGCTATAATTCTTGTTGCTACGTGAGATGTAAATTGACAATTAGAAGTGTAACGCAAAAGCACCGGGGAACAGCAACAAGGAATTTGGAAGAAAGATGGACCGTGGTTGATGCAGCAGCTGCCTGTCTGACAAAACAAAACAGGCACTTCAGCATGCTCTCCAGCACTCATTTTCACCTGAGTGTGCACTGATTAAGTTGTTATGACGATTCCTTGAGAGGCTTAAGTTTTCCCGGCTGCTGTGTGTTACTTCCCTCGGCCATATGTCATTACTTAATAACTGCAGCAGCGTGAGCGAGAGCGCTAAAGAGTGTTTGAGGAGGTGACAGAAATGCTTGTTGATGGCAAGCCAGTGATTACTGCTCTTGGCCACTCTGCATAGATTATAGTTGTTGACGCTGAAGCTGAGCCAAGACGGAAAAAGTTGTTTGTCTTTTTGCAGTGATATTGTCATGAGCACCTGCATTTATCTCTGTGTCTAAATGTGCCAGCTGCACTGAGATCAAAAGGTAGTTATAGTTTGTTTGTCACTCGGAGGATGAAAAGAAACCGTCACTGTCATACCTGCGAGTGTGAAGTCTACGGGCGGATACACTTTTAATGGGTTTATTGCTGTGACCTTGACTTGTGTGGGATGCAGCTCATCATGGGTTGTAGCTCTTGATGGTGATCTGCATTTACAGATCATTTGCTCCATGGTCAGTAGGCTTTAAACACTGGTTTCCACGCTTCATGTAATAATTCCCTCTTTTGCAGCAAAACAAAGCCTTCAGATACTTTTCTGGGTTAAACTGGGCTAATGAAACACTGACTTGCGCTAAAACTCCCACTATTAACTGAGTTAAAAGTGATGGGCTTGCAAAATTGATTTTCCATTAGACTACAACTCATAATATAACACTCTCTGTGGGAGTCCGTGTTACAATGGTACATTCAAAAGGAATAGTTAATGATAAGACAACCAGCCCTATTTTAAGAATGTTACATTCTAGCCAATATTATACATTTATATAAGTGTAAAACGACAGGAACTTTGCCTTTCTACTGTCTTAACCTCTTCCTCGTCTTTAATATCTCATTGCTCTGCAGAAAATATTCTAATATGAAGTATTGCTTTTTATTCTGAGCTCATTCTCCCTCATCTTTCTCCACATTTTACAACCATAGCTCATTAACAGCTCCTAATTGGCCGTTGGGCTAAGCTGAGAACAATGAAGCATTGATTTCCTTAAACATAATCATCTCATCTAGTCGTTTAATGGCTGCTGTCACTGTGGGCCGCCAAGAGAAAAATGAGCAGCCAGTGGTCTCATCGGTGCCCTTCACCTCCCCTCACCAAAGGCTAAAGTGCACATCTACCCACTCCATCTTAGCAGGTTGGTTTAACCCCTTTCACTGCCTGACAGGCTCTGAGCACTACATCCATCACGTCTCCAGTTGTTTGGATCCTGTGTTGCACCGCTATGCACACACAGTTACTGATGCGCACTTTAGCGGTTCAGCATATATTATGCGGTGCCTCGGTATCGTGTGAGTAAATACACACAGTAACAAACTCATATGGACACACACTCAGACACAGATAATGGATGGTCATTTACCGAGCTCCTAGCCACCTGAATTAAATTACCTCTTGACCAAGTGGCCATTTGTCATCTAAGTGGCTCTCGCGACTGGCCCAGTAGAGTCATCACGGAGCCATTTGCCCTGCCCCCTCCTCCAAATACCAGATGGTTGATAGTGATCGCCCATAATGTCCACCTGGCCGATGGCTGGACCTCTCCCCATCACTGATACACTCACAAGCGTGGCCTCTGTGTGTGTTGGGGATCATCCAGAATTCTGATGGCGATGAATAAATGAATCATCATAATAATAAAAAATATATAATCAGTCTAAATTGCTTAATACTTAGTAATAATAATAATAATAATTCATTTATTTTATATAGGCGCCTTTCAAGGCTCTCAAGGTCGCCGTACAAACACATAAAAAAACAAGATACACAATACCTAACACCAGCATAAGAAACATAAACAAGACAATGCAACAAATCAAATAAATAAAACAGAGGATGTGTGATGGATAATGATCAGGGTGGATATGCGAGTGTGAAGAGATATGTTTTGAGGCGTGATTTGAAAATGGGGAGAGAGTCAATGAGTATTGAGTCAATGTCCAAAAGTAAAAAAACAAGGCATACCTTTCACAATGAGAACCCCAGACCTATACCCTATGTAACTTTTGACAAGAGAAAAATCCAGTTCAATCAAAAGAAAGGCTGTCTTTTTCCCCCAATCTATTCAAACCTGTTATTGAATGTTTAAAAATAATTTAACATTGTGTAAAACTTTGCTTAAAAACCTTGTGTATCTGAAACATTGGTATTGTTGACTTTTATGAATGTATGTCAACAGCTGTCCCTAGTAATTAACTATTATATGTTACAGGGATTAGTTCTCAGAGCAGAAGCTTTTCATTATTTGTTTCTGTAAAATTTGTAGCAATAAATTGTTATCCAAAACTTTCCTAAGTCCCACAGAAGAAACACAGTCACAGATCAGGAGACATTACATTGCAGCGATTTACAGTATGTTAGCTGGTGTGCTTACTTACTAAGCAAGTGTTGAATCTAGCTGAGGGAATTAAAACCAATTTCGTATTCTGTGATGCAATGTAAAGTCCTCACTTATTCAGTGATCTGCTTTGACTTGAAAGCAAGTCTGCAGGTCAGGAAGCTGTCAGTAAAATATTCAACAAGCCAACACATTGTGGAGTTTGGGGTTTTAGCACACAAGGGTTTTCTCCCCTCTCTTTTATAGTCTGTGTTCAGCCTCCTCCGGCTTAGACATATCTAACAACAAGTGCTGAGAGAGTGACATTAATACTGCACGACAGCACGGTCCAGCAGGACTGCAAATGTTTGCCTTTTAATCCTGGATTCGGAGCCCTTTGGTCTGGCAACGGCAGACAGTGATGGGAATGGGAGAAGAAAACTGTTGCCAAACTTGTCTGGGTTGCTTCAAGCTCACTTCCGTAATTCATGATCCGAGCCATTTCAAAAATTTGCACAATCAACCTGGCTCGAGAAAACACGCACCGGTGGTTTTCATGCCATTGGAGGCAAATGCATAACCACAGAAGGATGTCACCATTAAACCTTTGTACGGCTGAGCTGAGTAAGGCACAAACCAGATGGAAGGTGGCATTTGGCTGTCTCCCCTTTTTTTGCTCTATCTCTTCTGTGGATCGGAGAGGATTGATTAAAATCCTCCTCTCGTCTACTCCCGTCTTCTCCTCTCCTCTACTTTATCTTTACTTCTCCCTTCACTTTCCTTTATTTTCCTTTCCTTTCCTTCCTTTTATTTCATCTCCTTTCCTTTCTTATATTTTATTTCCTTTCCTCTCCTCTCCTCTCCAACTCCAGTTGAATTGTTGGACGCTGGTGTCTGTTGCGGTGGCTGTCAAGGGAAGATAAAGAGTTTTTCCTGGGGCATAAGGAAAGGGGAGAGCGGTGATGGAAGGCCTCTCTGCCGCAGCTCCGCTGGCTGCATTAGCCTCACACTTTATAATTGTGTGAAGGGGGCACTTCCAGGCGCCCCCTCATTACTCACTCGTATGGCCGGTCCCTGGCAGCTAGACACACCTTGTCCTCTAGCTCTCTCTCACCCTGCCGGTCTCACTCATTTCTGGATGTCCCTCCTCTCCATCACCCCCTCGCCCTCCCGTGGGCTATCCTCCCTATTGTTATTTTTGACCCAATACCGCCATTGGCGCACATCGCCTTCTCTTTTCACAGAATCCTTTTGACATCCTCTTTTGTCACAGCGGGACCTTTTGTACAGCATTTGCTCCGACTGATGTCACCTATGCTTTGGAGCTAATGCTTCAGTGTGGTATGGCCTAAGAATGCATTGGCTTATTGAGTTAGACATCTTAGAATATGACTGAGGCCTATGACTGCCAGGTCTTTCTTGAAGAAGTGTTAGTGCATCACTTTTTAATCATATTAACAACATATGGCGAATATTAAGGGTGCAAAGCCCGGCACATGGTGTGATCTTCACCATAGGCTGATTGGTATGGAATGAGGACAGCCAACACTGAATGAGAGGCAATTAGGTGACATAATTGAGATGCCTCGAGGGCCAATTTGTTACACACACTTACAGTGTAAGTGCTCAATGATTGTACTGCAGTGTGCCGCTAATGATATGATGAGGTGGGGTAGTGGAGGTTCCCTAAACCTCTCTTTCACTCACATAATTGTTGTTTATTTGAATTTTTGATGTATGAAAAGTTACAGGAGCGTTGTGTTTGCTATATGTAATTTTCAGTGACATGTTTCCTCTCACATGTAATAACCGTGTTTGTCTTTGTCTGTTTATCCGCAGAGGGAGGGACGTGTGAGGTGATTGCCGCCCATCGATGCTGTAACAAGAATCGCATTGAGGAGCGTTCTCAGACAGTCAAGTGCTCCTGTTTACCGGGAAAAGTGGCCGGGACGACACGCAACAAACCTTCCTGTGTGGATGGTGAGGAACGCTTATATGTTTTTAATATTGTCCTGCAGCTAACTATTTGTTACTGTGGCTCCTGTGTGGAAACCCGTTGTACCCAGCCCAGCTTAAGTTGGAATTATGTAAAAATTACATTAAACATGTCCTATAACATTCAGGATTACTGGATTTAGTATTTTAAAAGGGATAAAGTAACAGTATTTGAGGTGGTTTTAGGATGTGTTACCCACGTTTCATGCAGGAGACTGGTATGACTCTTTACACAGACTTGCAATAAATATTCATCTTTTTAGTTACTTTAATATATAATATAATATAATGTAAAGTATGGAATGGAAGGATACAGTATGTTCCTAGCTCTTAAGAATTGTAGTTTAACGTAATCCAGGGTACAGTTTTATCCTCCATAGTTTTCTACGGTGGTTATGTTGTTTTAAAAAAAGAAAAACACATAGTTCTGGTATTAAAAAAAATTGTAATCATGTAAAATTAATCAAATAAACCAAAGAAGAACACCAATCAATAGCAGTCTTTTATGATACTAAATAGGAAAATGTCTTATCTAGTACTCAAATGTATACTACAATAAACAACTAAATATCAGTCCTTTAATTTATAATTAAATTATAATAAATCAGGTTTACATTTTAGGAATATTCCAAGAACTCTTCAACATTTATATGAGACAAAAAAAGCCGGAGAGGTTTTCCATGTAAGCACACTGGAGGTTACTAAATATTTCTGCTGAATTGAATTAATTATAGTATTGCTTTGATAATGAATGCATTATTGAACTATTACATAATTGGTTCCTTAGTGGCTCATTCAGACTGCAGCTGTTTCAATGGCATGTGCTCCGTAAACATGACATTTTAAAAACAGAATATGGTTGCAAGGGTAGATTTGCATAAGGCTTAAATGAATAATTTTCAAAAATACTTATTCTGAACATGCTTTAATAAACACCTTGAAAACACCCTAAGCATAACACTTCCTTTGCTGCTAGATTTTTTAAATAAAAATACATTCAACCATTACGAGCCCACAAGTGCCGTGCTGCTGGGCATCATGGGAGATAAGGGATGATCCAGTGGGGGGGTTTAGCACCTGAGCAGGGAGCACGTTGCAGATCACATCGCCTAAGGCAGCTCAGGCTGATGGAAATGAATAACTAATAAACACAAGTCAGGCAAGCTCCAGGCTAGTGCACCTGAATTACCTCAGCTGAGAAAAACAATCAGGCAGAGGCAGCTCCATGGGAAGAAAAAAAAAAAAAGTCGACAGAAAGTCACAAGTCTGCTGAGACAGAACTGTGATGCCCCCTTCACTCCGGGAAGCTAATGTAGTGCTCTTCAATCTCAATCTTTACACCCACACCTTCAGCAGAGATCAAAGTCATCTCTCCAGCTGCCCTCTCGCCAAGATATGACACAAAAATATCTTCATTACGAGGGGTGTTACATGAAGGGCCAGACAGGCCTGCTCAGTGGGCTTCTCAGGGTTGGTTAGCCACAGCTGACACTCAAGAAAACCCTAGAATATAAATTAGATATGAGTCAAGGATGACACAAAAACTTTCTCTCTGTCTGAAACTGTATAAAACCTCTGGGTGAGCAGCTACATTTTTAGTCCTTGTGACTTTTTGTCAAGGTTTGAATGTGTGTTTCCCTGTGGTTTGACACGTCTGCTGAATGAAACATTTACAGAGCTCTGACCTTGAGACTTGTAGACTGTGGTGTCCTTGTTCAGAAAAGCAGGCAACCAGACTGTCTATTTCACAGAGAAAATACTTTGCACTCTTTTATATTTACTCAGATCGTGTCTTTTTTACTAGACATGGCATTAAAGGTCACCTATCATGCAAAATCCACTTGTTCAGTAAAGAGATTCTGAAAGTTTCAGGAAAAAAGATTCTCTCTTTTTGTCCTGATCCATTTCTATAAAAACCTGTCTGAAAATGAGCTGATCAGATTTTGGCCACTTTGTGATGTCATAACGATGTTTTGGCTTGTGTAACCATTAGCCAATCACCAACCAAGGTAACCCCCCCTCCACCTTATCACCTGAATCTCCTCCTAGAGCACCATTGTGTTCTTTGTAACCAAATATCTCAGAGGGGCGTGGGGAGGGGCTCCTTATTTTCATCTAAAGTAACAGACAGAGAATCAGCACTTTGGAAACAGGGCTGAAACAGAGGGGATTATGGGTAATGCTACAATGATCTGTTTGGTGTTTGGAGCCAAACCCTTCAGAGACATGTTTTGTATATATCTGAGACCTATAATATATTGATGAAAAACAGTATAATAACAGACCTTTAAGACAAAACTGATAAGATGATAAAACAGCAAACTGAGAGATTTCTCTTGAGCTAACCACAGATGAAATTCACGTGATAGAAAAAGTTAACAGTAAAAGTGGGACAAACATATACAAATAGAAATTACATGGACGGAGGCCTGTAGGTGGAGAAGTAGGAGATGTTGTTAACACTTCATGCCTCCATGCTTCGGGCTCCTGCAGCGAGAGAGAGTCCTTGCTGTTTGTGTATCGATTAACTGGCACTTATAGATGGAGTGGTGATAAGAATGGAAACGACAAGCCACTGAACAGCACGCTACAGTATTGAGCAGCGTTGCGCCACACTGAAATAGTAAAAAGAGCCTGACCTCTTGAAAATGTGACTCCTTTAGTTAAGGCCCTTTGCCTCTTCTCCTGGATAATTTCCATCTGCTTGAAAATGAATCAGGCTGTTATTTATTTAACACCGAAACCACTACGGGATAGGGGCTGAAGGGCAGACGAAATGATTGCGTGATTATTCATAAGAACTCATCTGTAGTCGGAAGTGTCGCACTTTACAAACACGGCATTTGATTAAAGGATATTTTTTCATGAGTGCGGAAAAAAATGGACATATGTGGGGGGGGTTTAGCTAGCTGCGCTCTGTGAGGGATTATAGACTTGTGGAGTCAGTGGTCTCTTCCCCTCAGGAGCGCACCGGTCTGGCCCAGGTGGAGCTCTCTCCCCAGGTTATTAATGTTCCGTCCAGATGAGGAACGATGCCGCAGCCCAGCTCATCTCTCCGCCCCCCTGGGGGACACCTGCTGCCCCATAACAAACACAGGTTATGTTCCCACAAAAGAGAAAGGAATATAAAGAGTTGCCTGTGCTCTGATAGAAGAAATCAAAAGTGTATCTTCAGAGGTCATTTGGTTTGACACGGCCTGGAGGAATGAGCACTCTATCTTTGACCAAATCAGCCTCAATCTCGCGCTGTATTATCGGTCATTAGCATCAAACGCTAACATCAAAGCCCACATTGAGGATCAGTCCCATTGCCAAGTGTTTACCTCGTGAATGAGGGCCTTGTTGGGTCAATGCAGCTGCTATTGGCAACTGTTTGGGTTGTTATTCATATATGGGGATGTGACGACAGCTTCGAGGTGTCATGCTCAGCAGGGGTCCGCTGTCAGATTATCCCTATAGTTGGAATTGATTATTAGCTTTGACAAGGGGAACTATGTCCCAGTTATGTCAGGGCCAACAAGGCTCTTAGTGAAGAACATCCCTTTTAACAAGTCAAACGCTCCCATCTCTCCAGCCTCGCCGGGCTGATCACATGTACTCGGATTAGGCGCTCATCACTGCACTACTGCCTTTATCCCAGTGTACGAGACATGTAAGCCCTCAGCCACAGTATGCTCAAACACACACACACACACAAACATGAACTCATTTACTCAACACATGCATGCCGATGCCCTAATATCCGCACATGCTACCACTTTGTGTTGACATGTAGCTGCAAACTCTTTCAACAAGAGATGCACGCGGTTGCACGCGGTTGCACGCGGTTGCACGTGGATGCACGCTCGCTGTTGATCGGTGATGGGGAATGAACCCTTCTGTTTAGCTGCAGGCGCGTAAAGCCAAACATGACAGGTTGTCATGCTACATTTGAGATACATCCAGGGGGAGACACACATTAACGCTACTTGAGGGGAGGGACAAGGCGCTCTGTAGTTCTTCTGCATACGTTACTGGTCAAACAGATGCAATCAGAAAATCATACGCATGTTAGAGCACAGGTCCCCAATCTTTTTTCTCTAAAGTACCCCCAAAGTTGATGAACTCGAATGCACCTTCATTAACAATACATGGTCATTTCAATTGGTTTTGAACTAGATTTTATGTTATTAAATATATAAAGCAATATTTGTCATAAATTAAACATATTCAGGTGTACTAACACACCACTTTAAATAGAAGAAAGTTGTAATTGCAACTGTTTATGATATGTAATGCTAACTGTTAAAACTGTTTTTTTGCTTCTAAATAACCATTTTAACTTTGCATCTATTACCTGATGTTTCCATATCCACCATGTATCTGATATGCTTAATGTTAGCTCTTTCAACAGTTCCATTTGACAACATTTACCATTTAAACTCTTTTTCAGCTGCTTCAAACTTTAGCTTTTTTATCCGATGCATTAAATGCTATGAATTTTAAGAATGTAAAGGTTATATTTAGCAAGCTTTTCCAACAGTCTATTAATTACTTTAAGCTAACTGTTTAGATTGCTCTGCTAGCTTGCTAACTACATTTCACACACTATACATCGTAGCTGTTGTTCATTTGTATTTCTCTTTTTCCACATTCCCCATGGAGTACAAGTATCCCTAGTTGGGACTCACTTTGCAAAAGTAATATGCTCAGGTTAAAAAATGTTCTATAAATATTGTTTCATATCAAGGAATTTTGTTTAAACTATTATTAAAACATACAAATACATACAGTATCTGACCGGCAGAGTTTATGTATTACCAGTAATGGACAGCAAAGTTTCACAAACGTATGACAACCGTGAATGAAACATCTCGTCCTCCCATTATAAAATCCCTCCCCCCCCCACCAGTTTGCCTCTCTATTGTTCTCCAGCCCCCCTGATACTGTATGTGTTTGGCAAGACATGAACCTGCTGCAGATACTGCCTGAAGGGATGGACAGAC